AGATGCTATTAATTTTATTTTGTTTGTAAAACACACCAAAGGCTCTGAAGACTGATTGAAACAACCATCTTTTCTCTGGATCAAAGCTGTTGTGTTAGAAATAACTACTTTAGAACTTCAAAAGAAAATATTTGCCTTTAACAATTTTTAAAATAAACTACAAATAGAAAGGTCATATCCTGATAAGAGTTACGAGACTGTATACATGACATGAAATTAAGTCATGTAAAACAAATTAAAACCTCATTCAACAGAATTCAAAGCTAACATCCAGAGTCTCATAATTATTTGAAATGAGTATTCACCAAAATGAAAAGCAATTAATTTCACAGTTTTTCCCCGACAAAAAGGTTTTTTTTTCCCCAAAAAAAAAACTTCACATGAAACTAAAATGAAACATCAATGAAACTCCACTGAAATGAAAAGCGTTACGCGTGAGTATCCCTCAGTGTCATTTGCCACAAAACATCCTGCCCTTCTGCTGAGCAAGCACCAACGCTCTCCACACACATGGTCCCTCTGTGGCAGTGGAGACCATCCCAAACTCTGCTCCCACCAAGACCCACCTGCTCTGTGATCCCCAGCCTCAGACCGATCAGATTGGCATTATTCACAATGTTCCTGTGAGAGAGGGTGGCTCCTTTGGGGCTTCCCGTTGTCCCCTGAAAGACACAGGGCATTATGCAATGATGCCACCTTTTCTGAGGATGAGCTACGTGTGCTTTCTGGGGCAATTTCCCAGGCAGATGCTGGGGTGATCTTGCACTTCATTCTCCATTCAGACCTGGGAGACTTTATTTTCTTCTTTAACAGCATCTTAATCCCAAACTAAACAAAAAAAAATGGCCCAACTTCCGTTGGACAGAGTTCACAGGACACCCTCTCATCTCCATCAGCCCTTGAGAAAGGGCTGAGCAGCAAGAATGGAAGAAGCAAGGGGAAATGCTAGAACGTTTCCTCCATCCTACAGCAGAAGATGGAACCAGGGCTTGGTCTCAGAGGGCAGAAGGCAAAGGAAATGGGATGCTCAGCATCGCACACATCCTCCCCTGCGCCCCCAGCAAGGAACCCAACCATGAGTCATGGAGCAGGCAGAAGCACCTACTGAAGTGAACTGGATGTTGATGGGCTCATCGCAGGAGAGGGTCCGCTGCACGGCTCTTAGCTGCTTCATATGGCTGCTGTCCCCAGCCTGCATCACTTCATCCATGTGGAAGGTGCCAGGCAGCTTGGAGTCCACTGTGATGACAACGGATAAGTTTGGTAGCCTGGTAGAAAGAAAAATACCATCAGCAATAACGGAGTAAGGAGAAAACTGCCTGGACAGGCGCACACTGGTCAGGGCAAACCTCTAGGACAGCCTAACCCGTTCCCTTCGGATGAGACCCTGTGCAGGTCCTTCTTCTGCTAGAGCCTGTGTTGTGCAGCTGAGAAGACACAAGGCAGGACACAGCTGTGAGGTCAGTGCAAAGACACCAGATGCTCCTAACTCACCTTTTGCTCTTTATTCCCCCTGGACTGGATTTTTCTAGCTCAGGACATGACTGCTTTAGAATATCATAGTATTTCTGTCTTTTAAATTGAGTGGGAAACACCAGTGCCTTACAGCCAACCTGTGAAGGGAGACAGAAACTCGTGAGAAGTCACGTCGGGTTGATGTTCAGGACATGATAAAGAGCAGTCACCACTGACACAGGAACGTGCGCAGCCCTGTGACCCCACACAGCAAGCGTTAGCCATTAACACCGCACCGGGATTTTCTCCATGGCTTGTTTCTGTAAGCACACGATACAATGAGCTCTCTCCAGATTAAACCTGGAGGTTTTTAACACCTCCCTAGTAAGAGCCGTGGTGTGCAGCCGTTTAAAAATTCACTGAAGAGCACGACATGGGTCTTTGCACAGCGAGGGTACAGCAGCCACGCTCCCAGGGCTGGGGACATGCCTCCAAGCAGGTAGATTCACCGAGGGCAAGTGCAAACCGAGCCCTTACAGCTGTGCACTCATAAAACCCTGCAAGCGCAGGGCAGGGTGCTGTTACCGCACGCGCGGCACACCAGCGCCCCGAGCCCTGATCCACGCATGCAGCCGGTGCTTCGCTCCTCCCCGGCATTCGGTTCAGGACGGGCTGGTTGCTTTTCGCTGGGCAAGAGAGCAGAGCTGCAGCCTGAGGTTCCCTCTTCTCCCAGGATCAACACTCCTCATCGCGAGCACAAGGCAAACGACGGATTTTTTCAGACTAGGAGTCCCAAGGCTAACAAAAAGTCCAGTCCCAAAATATGGAAAAAAAAATCAATTGAGTGTATCTGAAATGAGGATGTTTGAGGAACTTTGGAAAAACAAGGAAGCCTAAAGACTGCCTCTCAGGTCAAGCCAAGGTTTTGTTGTGGGTTTTTTGTTTGGGTTTGTTGTTTGTTTTTGTTTTTTTTTTTAAGGTGTTCTGTTTCCTAAGATTTTTCCACCTCTTTTAAAAGAGTTAGCTATTTTGAAAATTAAAACATTTTTCATTCAACCTTTACATAATCCTGAAAACAAAGCACTTAAATTACTCCAAGAATTTCTTCTTCAGTAGAGGAGATTTGCTGAATTTGACCCAGATTTGCAAACTACTTTCATCTTCCAAAAAATGCATTCTTGTCAAATAAACTATTCACATAAGTGATTTAAATGCGTTCTTGTCAAATAAGCTATTTACATAAATGATTTACTCATCTGTTTTCATTATTTTCCCAAGGTCCATGAAATAAGGAGACCGAGGCTATGCCAATAAATTACTTGTAAGTACCCTCTGGGGTTTGTCAGAAGGGTAGACAAACATTTGCTCTATTTTCTGGAACAGTCTGCCCAGAACCCAGGGGACTGAGTCTGTTTGGGATGTTTTGCGCCTTTGTAACTTTTTACTATTAGTTCCTCCAAACCAGTATTCTGGTTGAACTAGCTTTGCAAAACAGACGCTATGGGAGGAGAGGAGCTTGCAGGGCAGATGCTGTACGAGACAAGGGTCTCTAGTTAGGCATCTCCCACTTGGTCTCAACCTGAATGGCAGCAGACCCTTCTTCAAAGGACCTGTCATATAAGCGCTGACATCAGTTTGCTCTTACAGAGCCCTGGAAATACAGCAGGAACGAGAGGAATGGTTATTCAGCACGTATTTCTATATGTACCAAAGGGAGGGAACCTGATGGAGCAAGGAAGGGACTGCACAGGCTGACAGGATCCAACAACCCCTAATGTCTTCAGGGGTTCTGCTGTGCAAATAAACAAACAAATAATTAGGGGGGTGAGGGACACCAGAGATCCCAGTGCCAAAGGTACACGGGAAAGCTATGAACACTAGAAAACCTGGGAGGGTGAGACAGGAGTAATCCCCAACGGAGCTGAAGCACGTTTCTGCTCTTACCCCATCCACACTCCAGATTTACACTGGAGGAGAAAAATCAGAGCAGAATCTGACACACAGAGACGGAAAGGAAGACAAAAGCCAGGTCCCACTGGGAAAAAAGGGAAGTACTGCCGTTTACATTTCCACCCGGTGAGAGAAGCAGGAGGACATCCACACTGGAAGAGATGTGCTTCACCCCAGCACCACGTTCAATCCTCACGCATGAAAACAGGAGTGACACCAGCGAGACTACCGTAAGAGGTTTAAACGAAGGATGAAATGGGAACTCGAACTACAGCCCAGCAACCGAATTACAGAGTTACTGATGCAAGAGAAAAGTCTCTTGCTAGAAATTATCCACTTCTTCCAAGGTAAAGCCAGAACTTGGATGGTGCTGGGAAGACCCAGACGTGGTTCCAGCTCTTCTAATACCAGCCTTTGATTTAAAGCTGAACAAACCACAGACGACCAAATTAGCTTCTTAATCCCAGGATTAATTTCTAGTCATCAAATGTTTAGTAGCTTGGATTCCTCATTGCTGGAGCTAATTAGCCAGAACAGTTTGAACCGATCGGTGCTCTGCACATTGCAAACCCAAACCCAGGCAGGTATATGAGGGTAGCTGAGGCAGCCACAATCAGACAGCAGAAAGATGTCAAGCGGTGGCAATACCTAGGACTTAAACCAGGTTAAACTCAAAGACAGCAAGGCCTAGGACACATCTGGGAAGGAGAAAACCAGCTACCGAGTAGGCCGGTCCTTTCTGAGCCTTTCTCCTTTCAAGGTTAAAATCCCAGATGGTGATATTTGCCCCGAGCGGTAGGCAGGCAGGATGGCACTGAGTCAGGCAGGACGGCCGCGTGGTGCTCTCCCTCCTGGGCAGGCTGGACCATGAGTGCGGGAAAGTTAGAACTGATTTAAGACAGATATTGCCTCTAGAGATTGCAGCCACGCTCTGCTACTACGTAGTCTCTGCTGTCCCTGCTGCCAGCTTCGCGGGTGGAACAGTCCCTGGGTCAGATACTCCATCTTGCCTTGTTTTCCTCATTCCCTCGTAAACGACTACTGGCAGGTATGGTTATTACTGGTGTAATACTGGCAGTACGTGGTTGTTAGCAGAGAGAGAGGGATGAGGAGGATGCAGAAGTCTCCATCAAATGGACAGGGTGGCAGCCAAAAGGAACAGCAACAAACGTGACCACTTAACTGCAGCTTCATCCCCTTGGTCACTGCATGGTGGTGTTCCCTCTACACGGCCACCACCAGCCCTGCTCTCCAGCCAGCTCTCCCCAAAATGCCCAAGTGCTTAACCAGAAGCTCATCTGTACTGTCCCCCCACTATTGTACTGTCCCCCCACTATCCCCTTTAACAGACGGCTGCTTGTATGCGTTCTCATAACGAATCAATTAGCATTACCAGCAAGTGCCATACAAACCTTCCTGATGACAAACTCCAGCTCAAGGGCCTGGTAGGCTGGATTCACAGATACCTTAAGAGGGAGAAACAAGAAGGTTGATCAGAGTTACCCTTGCCTTGAAAACCCTCTCCCCTAACACATATTCCAACAGAAAAGTTCTCCCAGGGACAAGCCACGCTCAAAGCCTCTCCTCCTCTCCAACACGCAGAACTAATAGCTCCCCACTACAGGGATTTCACATTCACCAGAAAAATTAGCTGAATCCTGTGTTTGCACAAAAGAAAACAATCAGAAAAGAGATTTATGTGAGGTCAGATAGTCACAACAGAGTTTCAGGAACTGAAACCAGACCTCCTGCCTCCCAGGCAGACATTCAATCCACTGAAGACTCTAAACTCAAGAGCACGTCAGGTTTCTTAACAGACAACCATGAAAACACCAGCTTTCTCCTGCCCAACTCTCCACAGAAGCAGTATTGGCCACTGGAGTTGAGTTCACATCAGATTCATACTGAGCCATGCTCATCCACCCTGTTACCGTGTCTTAGCAGACACCGGGATGAACCACGACGAAGAAAACGGACCAGAAGGTACAGTGCAGTCCTTACTACGGGGCACTGTCTAAATAAGACGCATTTTCGTCAATGTGCCAGGTCATTCTCTCAGATGAAAATTGGCTTTGGGAGATATGCAACTTGGACTACATTTTTAAGTGAGCATTTGCACCATGAAGCAACACAGGTCCTATTTAGGAAGGATCTAAATAACTGGCAACTTTAGGACAGCGGCATGTTACATAAAAACGGTCCTACAGGCAAAAGCACATCTCCATCTGTCATCGGCTGCTGCAAGCTAGTTCACAGCAGTCCATTTCTTGCTGCTCCTTCCTCTGCAGTCTGCTTTCCTACATAGTGGAGGACAAAGACGCAGAGGGTTGCACAGATCTTGTTTAAATACTGGATTCAGCTATAGACAACATGCCGGGTAAGATCATGGGAAAAAGAGGCAACAAACTTTACTCTCTGGTATCTCCTATTGCTTCTTTGTCTCCATGTCCTTTCCCAACAGACTGCTAAAAACCCAGACACAGCAAACTCCTTACCAGGATGATTCCTGCCTGGGCAGTTGCAAACTGCATGAGAACCCACTCGTATTTATTGGGACCCCACATTCCCAGCCGGTCTCCCTTCTTCAGGCCAAGAGCCAGAAGCCCAGCTGCTGCCTGGTCCACCTGTAAATACAAGACAAGAGCCTGAGGATCACACACAGGATGCAGTGGGGGATATCTCTCTCCAGGCACTGCTTTCTGGGGAAAAAGCATCGTCTTTGCAACTGGCATCAGACAGAACGTACCTCTGCTGCGGTCTGTCAGCCTACTGCTGCAGCAGCAGCATCTTCTGAGTCACAGAGCAGCCCCTGCTTAGCAGGATGATTGCAAGCATAAAAATAACAAGCGTGGAACAATACAACAAAGCAGGAAGGAAACCAAAATAGGCAATTGTGTACAAATAGTTGCAAATTAATTCTCGCCCAAAGACTACTCAGTGTCTAGCTCCTCATCAACTCAACTTAGGACTAAGCCTTACCCATATGCTGGGTCCATCTACAGCGTTGGATCTGCCTCCATACTGGCATATCACTTACTTCTAAAAGGACTCGGGTGATGAAAACTTTATCAAGTGATTTTTGACCAGTCTGGGGTTCCTATCCTCATTAACTTGCATTCAACCACTATTTTATTTTGCGAGATGGTAAGCATGTTTCAGGTGTGCAGATGTATGTATAATATTCTGAGGTATTCAACAAAGGTCTATAAACTTCCCTATGTTCTCAAATGAATTTATGAAATCTACCTTGTAGGAGATATGAATTTGAGGAATAGCTATTCTCTGATTTAGTTCTGAATTACAGCCTACTTTTTAAAAATTAGGGTGAGCACAGCTAATCTTGTTTATCTGAATGGATGTAACCAAAACACTAGTAAATCTAAAAAAAACCCAAACAACTGTTCTTATCCAAGATCATATCATACATTTAGTAGAAACTTTCCAGGTAGTTAGCCTTGAAATAGTGCCCCTCCATTCAGAATACATATAAACATATACTTGTATGTAATATGCACACATACATACACATGCATAGATACATCCACACACATTTTTGCATATGTTATTGAGACCAAGTCCTTGACTTTGCTCAGTTGCCTTTATACTAGAAACCTCTACACACTCAGGACCTCTGACAGTCAGAGCGGAGCGACTAATACAAGAGCTGGAGCCTACTCCAGCTGAGAAAAACACCATGACCCAGCCCATAACACATCAGATAGGGGTGATAACTTAAGTATGAAAGTTCATTCTGGGATATTCAGCAAGCATTTTACATACACTGCCTTCTCCCTTTGATTTCGAGACTATAAGGAGGACAAAGGCAGCACGTACCCATCAGCGTGTGCTGGGAAGGTGCTATCACGCTCTGCTCAGGGCCAGGATGAAGATCCATATACAACAAACCTCACTCCTGAGCTGAGCGATAAAATCGTTTTCCATTTCTCCATCACGCCTGCTGCTGCCGTTATCCACCTGCCTGGGCTCTCCGAGGGGCGAACCAGGTACTCACCTCCTCTTTGAACTGAGCAAACGTCTTCCGAACGCCGTCTCGGCAGAAGACCAAGGCGTCGCGGTCGGGAAACCGCTCAACGGTCTCATCCAGGCACTGGCCCATGGTCTTGGTGAGAAGGGGAATGTCTAAGGCCCCCTGGACATAGCTGTTGGTCACCCTGTGGGAGGCAGAGGGCATCGCTGTGTGCAGAGCACTGTGAAAGAAAAGGAGAAGGGTCTATTTTTTAATATAACCCATCAAGACAATTCTCTCCATCTGGAAGGATTATCAACCCGCCGACAGTACCAGGAGTACTTGATGTACATCCCCACACTGCTGGGAACCACAGGCAGCCACTTCAGCGCGTCAAGATCAGGAAGACCTCTGAAAGCACTTGGAAAGCCCGTGCAGCAGCCGGGGGAGCACTGGGCAGACGGACAGCCTCAGTAACCCCAGTGCACCCACCTGGACCTGCCCACGCGAGCAGGCAGCACAGGCAGAGCCTCCATCCCTCCACTGGAAACCAGGACCCTGCTCACTGACGGGGAAGGAGCCTGCACCAGCCCTGCAGACCGGGCACAGCCTGGTCCTACAGTCGTTCACCTGGGGTGAAAGCTACCTTGGACATTTTGGGATATCTGGACAGATGATGGACTTTGCTGAGGGATGGCAACTGGGTTTGGTCTTTCTGCAACACTAAATAGTGCAAATAACTTGGAAGGAACACAATCAAAACAGTTTGTACGGAAACTCCACCAACTGGCTTCGCTCCGAAAGAGCAGACGACTGAGAAAGTTAAAATTAAAGTCAGAGATCTGTCATTTTATCAGTCTCCAAAACAGTCTGCAGAGAAGAGTCTAATCCCGCAGCATAAAAAGTGTTTAGAAGAGTTCAAAGAAGTTGAGCTGTAACCGAGAGGCATTTGCAAAGTAATGGTCTGTGTATACAGCAGCAAGCAGGCTGTACATGCTTTACTATCTCTGCCAGCTAGACCGCAGAGAGTTCACGGTACTGAAGACAGCATCAGTAAAACGAGGAGCTACCAGTGAGATGAGGGGGGAGAAGTGCAGAGGCAAGAATACAGCACAGGCTGTATTTCAGAGGCAAGAATACAGCAGGCTCACAGGGTGGAGGAGACTACACCCGCTGCAAACACGGGACAGGAGGGGAGGATGAGAGCAGGGAGGCGTTTCAGCAGAGCAGCACCTGGGCAGCAATGGCATGACAGGGTCCTTGAGAGGAGCACAGAGACATTGTGTGGAGGCCAAGCTGGAGAGGGAACACAGGAGAGGCAGCAACAAGAAGATGTGGGCAGGGTGGTAGGGAAAATCATTTTAAAATCATTAAGGCTTTCACTGAGGTCTGATCATCAGTGGAAAAGCAGCAACCTCCCCTCAAACGGCAGCTCCTGACCATCCGAGCGCTGCAGTTCTTGCCCTGGTTTCTCTCTCCACCTCCTCCTGCTCCGAGCCTCTCTCTGCCCCAGCAGCCCCCGGCTTTCTCTGTCCCTCCTCCCTTCTTCCCTGCCTCCCCCTGTGCTCTCCGCTCCTCCATTCCTGCCTTAGGAGATGACCAGGAAGGACAGGGTTAAGCAACCTTGCAGGAACCAGACTTTTGCACTAAATGGAAGAAGGGGCAAAGCCAGAGCCAAATGACAGTTCCACCTCCAGTCTTCACAGCTACGGCTTCCTCCCTACCCCCAAACATGGGGATGAAAGAGCATCACAGAGCAGTAAAAGATGTCCTTATAAAGCCCTGCACTCCAAAACACTGTGAAAATGCTGCCGGTTCCCCTCACGGTGTGGAAACACGCACAGCTTGCTCTCAAGGGCCCAAGCATTCACACCTTCAAATGAAAGCCTCAGCAGCTTTGAAATTAGGGCCTAAGATATCTCATGCTCATAACCCAAAGTCACTAACTCCTCTCAAAGTGCCTGCTCACATGGTTTCTTCAAATACATCAAGGAAAGCAAAATTCACAGCTGTCATCTAGTTTGAGCTCCCTGAATTCTGGTCTGACGCTCTCACGTACTTCAGCATTTCTGTATCACTTATCTCCTGGCCACGGCAAGAGTGAAAGGTGCGGGATAAAACACCGCAGGCTGTTGGAAGCACTGGGGGTCGAGAACAGGAGGAATGAGGCAGATACATGATACATTCATTATCAGTAGCATCATGCTGGAAATAATGTAGGGTCCGTCTCCCTCCTGCCTATAGCCAACAGCAAGTGTAAACATCTGATCTGAAAGAACGTATCAAGAGACCTCTACAAAGAAAGGGTCCAAAGAATTTAGAAATAAGCTTTTTGTTCATCTTTGTTACAGAAAACAAGTAATTCACCCTCCACCTCCTCCTATGAAGCTTCTGGTACTGCTGGAGATAAAACAAGACCGATGGTCTGATATTCCAGCAGCTCTCATCTCCCTGCCTCAGCCGGAGGAGAGCAAATAAAACCCCGCTTGCTCTTGGGTCTCAGCGTAGACTGTCAAATGCTGCTCTTGGAGAGCACATGCCTTCTGTTGGCAACACACTCCAGCAGCAAGACAGCCTGCGGTGCCTGCAAACGAGCCAGCCTCCGCACTCGGCTGCTCCTGCAAGACTCCGTAACCCTGGAGTTGAACAGCGCAACTGAACAGACAAACAACAGAGACCCAGAAAAAAAAAAATCACCCCTCTCCCACCTTGTGCGAAAGGCAGGCGAGCAACCGAATGCCGGCAGACCCAGAAAGCACTCCTGCCTGATGGCGGCAAGCAGAAACCATCAGACTGAAACAAGCACTCTCGACTAATCCTAGGAGCTCTTTGTATTTATCTCTGAATAGCCCCAACTAACATTTTATAGTTGTTGAAATAAGATAACCAGCTTCATTTTTCATCTTTAACTCTTCACCAGTCTCTATAGAAATGATCAGAAGGGACGAGAGACGAACACAAGGTGGAGGCATCAGCGTAACCTCCAGCCCCCTACGATGAGCACACAAGCAAGCTCCTGCTTTGCAGCTGTGAAGGACATTGACCCGACCTGTGGTGCCATCCCCTCTGCACATGGGTGAAAGGCCCTGTCCTCCCAGGACTTGGGAACCGTCCTGACTGCAGAGTTCATGCTCTGAGAAGTTCACGGACTCCCCAGCCAGTTCCTTTGTTCATGGACGTCTACCAGGAGCTTCTCCCCGCAAAGCAAGAGCTTTTGGGTCTTTTATGTAACACAACTGCAATAGAAGAGTAGTGAAAGTTAACCCTGCTCTGCTCAATCTTTACTGCTTCTTCACTTTTTAAAACAAGCCTGTTGAGTAAAGAGTTAACTAGGTTTGATTACTTTTGTTTGCTTGGTTTGAGGGAGGAACAAGTCCCCAGGGCTTTCAGGCTCCAACTGCAGCAGACTTTTTGGTTACATTTTCCACTGCTCCTCTCTCCCCTCTGCACTCTTCCTGCCTAAAGGATAAATACTGCTTAACAACTTTAAGAAACCTTTTTATAGTGTTACCAGAAAGCTTACTCCTCCTACTCTTTTTCTCCAAGTGCTTTGTGTTCCTGCCCCTCAGTTTCACTCTCAATTCTGGGCTGGAGTCCAAACTGCAGTGAACTCTCCGCCATGCTTCCCTTCTGATCCCATTTCCCAAGAACAAATTCCGAAACGGCAATCTTGGCTCCAGCCGCACACATGGGCTTCAGCCACCTCACTCCTAATCTCAACCCAGCTGAAAAGAAACAGCCAGACCCAGCGTGTGGAAAAGCAAGGGCTGCTCCCCACGGTTCTTGGGGAGTTGCTCCCTGGAAGTCATACTTCCCAGTGAGTATTAGGCTCTGAATATCAGCTAATCCTCCAAAGCCTCTCCCAAAGCCAGTTGCGTTCCTATTGCTGTTCTTTCCCACAAACTTGCTCCAAGAGGCCTGACCCCCCCAAACCCCAGAGCTCCTCAGTGCCCTGGACCCGCTGGCACCCCAGTGCCCCCCACCACCCTGCTGCACCACAGGAGGACGGGGACACTGCCCAACGAAGCCCACAAGTCAGGGCGCTGAAGGAGGACAGAGAAACTTTGAAACACTTCACGTTACTGCGATCAGGCTGGAGCTGCTGCACAAAGAAAATTCAACCCTGGGCACATGTTCACATCCTTCTGCATGCCGTGAGGGGCTCGTCCCTGCTCCCAATCCCCTCCCAGGCCAGGGGGTAGCGGGGGGAGGCAGACCCAGGGGATGCAGCCTGTCTTCCGCCACTTTGGAGGGGTTTTAGGGGAGCCAAGGGACAATGACACACACTGAGAGCAAAGCCTCCAGCTGAACCTGCCCTCCCTGCAAGCAGCCACCCACTTGGCTGGACAAACGTATCGCTCTGCAGCTGCCCTATAGCCCCCGTCATCTATCACACATGGCCTCTGTCCCCTAGAGCCCCCATTCCTGTCCCTACAGCCTCTGTGCCCTACAGCCTCCTCATCCTCTGCCCCCACAGCCCCCCATCCCCAGTCCCCACAGCC